TTCATTGGTTGCCATAATGTGACAGTGTAAAACACAGGACTGTAATAAGACCGAGTTTAGTGATTCAGATACCAGTGAAATTTTAAAAATGATATTCATTTATTAGTGAGCAAATTTTATAAAATCTTTCAAACATTCTGAATTAAAAATATTTGGCAGTTCTTAAATTAGCATACAAAAAATAAAATAGCATTCAGATTTGAGTTTTAGAAATCCAAATTTTTCTAAAGATTTGTAGAATGTAAGGATTTGAATTCCTCATCCTTAGCAGAAACAGAATGTAGTTGATAAACTAATTTTTCTTAAAGAAATAGATCAGGTAGGGCTAGATTTTAAACTTCGTATGTTGGCTCTAATGTTAATTGCATGGGAAAAACAAAATTGCACTTTTAAAGTTAACATATTTTAAACAATGTTCCTTTTTGGAAAAGCACATGTATAAACCAATTTCCTTTAGATATCTTTCACAGGCATTCCTCCTCTTCGGCAGATATCCCTCATGTACTTTGCTAAATTTAAATAAAGCTTCATCAAATATCAATTTCTTTGGTATGGCTGGTTGTGTTATTTCACTAATTTTACTCTTCCAGAGTAGCACGAAAATATTACAGAAGCTATTTTTTAAATTTCCTATTCTGCACTTAGACAAAAAACTTGTCATACTGTTATACTTGCAAAGAGTATTAGAATTCCTTCTTTTAATTTCAATATACTTCTGCTAAAACTATTCAAAATTATGAACAGTGTGGATGGAACCCCCAAAATTGCTTAGTTTTCTATCTTCAAAAAGAAAAAAAAAAAAAAAAAAAAGTTCAATTACATTGTACTATTTTAAATTCACCTACCATAAAAAAATTTCTGAATATTATACAGCAGAAGAAATAAATGTGATTAATATTTACATGTAACCACACTAATTACAAATAAAAGGCATAATTATCTTTAATCTACTTCAAATGCTGCTTTTCATGATGTAAATAAGAAGCTGTGACTCAGAAAATCAAGATGTGGCATTCCAAATTTCTTGAATCTAACATGTGCCTCTTACTACTCTTAAGTTCAGCCAACCCTTGTGCAGTATAAAGTCCGAGATCTGGACGTCCAAATATCCGGAATGATCTAAAATAAAGAACCTTAAAGCCACCAACAAAAATTTTTTTAGGAATTTTTTTAATGCATATTTGATTTCCTCCCCCCCATAAGAAAACGTGTGGAGAATCCATATTCTTAATTTCAATTGAACACTAAATAAAATACCTTGTTAATGAAGAAACAATCATTTTAGTATAAATTTGTGTGATCAATAATTTGGCTGCATATCTACCTGGCATACATCTCAAACCGAAACATTCCACATAGAAATATCATTTAATTTTACAACTACTAATATTTTAATTCCTGACGCCAACCTGGCGTATCATTATTTATTATATTTTTCTTTCATCACCGCATGTTTATCAACACATGAACTCTTGAGTAATGCCTCATGCATCGATGCCTAAACCATATTTTTTATATTAGCAATTGAATAACAAAGAGTATGGAAACCTTTTATTGTGCATTACGCTTGGGAATGATTACAGATCTAAGTTAAATGCGCTAAATGTTGACGAGAAAAAATGTAACAAAAATTTCTTTCCATACACTAAAATAAATTTTGTTAATGATACTCATAAGACAAAGGATTACATTTAGTGCTATTTGAATTACGAATAACTTATTTTTACTCACATAAACCCAGAACCGATGCCAAGACACGTATGCCACACTGGGTGGCAGAATTTAGGGAAGACAAAATTTCTGGCATTTAGAGAAGCACCGAGTAACAAAATTAAGGGATGATAAAATTTTTAGAATTCTGGAAAAGCCCTGGAATACAAAATTAAGGGGCGGAAAAAATTTAGAGCTTAGGAAGGAGCTTCATAGCAAACTTTAGAACTTCCAGAGACTGCATCAAACACTGCAACAAAACAACTAGCACCACCACCCACGTAACCTTATGTGGGAATTTATTTATTCAAGACTCAGCCTTAAGCATGTGCAAGAATTAGACGCAAGTATAATAAATAACTAAATTAATAGAATTCAGGCTTAACTGTCTCAGTGCACAACAGAGGCAAGACTTAACGGGACATTTTGTCTTTTGTCGCTAGTCTCATGCTACATAGCCAAAAATGTATAGCAGGCGTCTATGAATGTATAGCATTGTTACAGATTGTGTATTTAGTTAGCTATTTTTAATACAATTATAATTAAAATTGTTTCATATCCCCGTGCAATGCAACACAAGACTTATTTTAAGAGAATGCTATGCCAGAAATGTAAAAGTACAGGAGCACACGCATTTAACATTTAATAAATAGACATCTTGTAATTCTACTCTTTTGCTTTCCAGAAACCTCGAGAAAACAAATTACGAGAACCTTCTCATGACTCATTAAAAAGCTTTAAAGAGGTCGAAGAGAAACGTCTTAGGTCAGTTGTTTAGATAACTGTTGTTGTTGACTGTAGAGAATTCGTAGTGAGATCGGATTAGATTTCTCTGTGTTTTGGATTGAGATCTATTTGATGTTTCAGTAGTTTAAAATACAGCTGTTGATTATATTGCATGATAATGCAATATTGTATAAATATCATTGAGAAAAAATCCAGCATCTTGTTATATTTTTCTTGTGATAAGAACAGATTTTATTAACATTTTATCAGACTTGTGCATTCAATCTATTACGAACCCGTACGCACGCAACTTTTGTGATGCCAAACAATTTCAGATAATATATCAGACTGCGATGCTCCTTAACTTTCTGATTTGATCAAGCTTATTATTTTTTGCCAGTTGTTGTAATTACAGCAATTTTATGAAAACTAAAGTTTGAACCTTCGAATATGTCGAAAAAAGTTTCTAATTCCGGAGCTGCAACAGGATCAACAAAGCAAAAGCATATTTCGATATCCATTAAACAAAAAGTGGAATTTCTGCAGAAAATGAATATGGGTATATCCATCTCAAAACTATGCGAGGAGTGTGGCATTGAGGAAAAGCAACTTTATGAATTTTTTTTTAATTCTGACACTCCACTTGCAATGAATAACACAAAAATTATCCGCTATGCTAAATTGACAATCATGACAAAGTGATGGTTGAATGGGTCAGACAGCATTGCTGCATAATTAATAATGCCATTGACGAGTCCAATGCTAATGGGTTAAAGATTCCAAAGCTAGACTAACAACTTTAGCATGCACAAATGTTGCAGGAAAGCACAAGTGTAAACTTTTCATAATCGGAAAAAATACATGACCTTGAGTATTTAAAGAAGTAAAGGTTTCCCCGTTATATATCAATGCAAACAAAAGAGCATGGAGGACACAAGCATTAATGTGTGGTTGGTTTGAAAATCATTTCATACCCAAGGCTCAGCAAAATTTGAATTTGTTTGGTTTACCTGGTGACGCAAAAATTGTCCTGATTGTAGATAACTGTTCGGCTCATATTTGACTTAAAGTTTTAATGAAAGATAATGTATCTGTGGTAGTCTTTCCTCCACACGGTATGTCCATCATTCAGCCTATGGATATCGGAATAGTGTGTGCACTGAAATGCAAATATAAAGTAGCATTTTTAAAATCAATGTTAAATTTCTTGATAATGGCAACACTATTCATGAATTTTTTAAATATTTTAGCACAAAATGTGCTGTGTGGAGCATTGCAAGATTGTGGGAGATGTGCCTCCAAATTAAAAAATACTTGGCATAACTTATGGCCAGCTACTATATTTCATGGTGAGGATGATGAAAGCGATAGCCACAAATTTGAAGGCTTTCGGGTATCACAAACCACAGGTGAAATTTTCCAATTAATTGATTTTGTAAAGAAATAAGGAGAAGCGGTAATAAATGAAAATGATATAACAGAAATTTTTTATTGCGATGACAATGCTCTAATCATCAATCAACAGACAGTGAAATCTGTAGTATGGTTCTAGATTCAGAAAATACTGATACCAATAGTGAAGAAAGTGACAGAGAGTCTATTGAAAACTAAAAAATTTCGATTGCCAAATTAGTCAGAATTCTCAACTCAGGAACTACAGGATTTGAATAGTGAAACTGTATAACTGAACAAGAAATTATGTCTGTATGTAGAATTGAAGAGAAAATATTAGCACAAAAAATGAAGCAACTTAAACAATTTGCATTCAAAGAAATTTTAATAAAGTAAAAATATAAATATTAGGCCCTTTTTTTAAATTTTGTTACCTTTTAGATCATAAATGCTTCATTATTCCATAAATCATGATTACATATTTTTTAATTTTGTAATTTTTACATGCCATTTCACAAGATTTAAACTGATGATCTAACATCCAGAAAAATCCTTAATACGGAATTGCTGAAGTCCCCACAAGTACGGATCTCTGACTTTGTACTGTATACGCTCTTTTGCGAATAAACTGAGTAACGAGCTTAGTAATAATCTTCGTAACATACTGTTGTAAAACCAAATTAAATGCAAATATTAAGTAATTAAACATTCATTTAATCTTCATAAAAAGTTCTACAAATATCCACAGTAGATTAAGAAAATTCAAATAAATAAACCTAATTAAAAAAAAAATATGTTGAAAATATTAGAGGTGGAGGAATGGAATTGGTACAATTTAAGTTTTGTTAATCAAAATTCATTTATTGCTCAAAAGAATTTTGGTGTTAAAGGGTAGAAATTAAAAACCAAGAATTCAGTGATCTTCTGCATGATTCGATGAAAAACTAAAACTCTCCCAGTGAAACAACGAGAGCTGATAGTTATGTGAATGGTTTATGAAAAATATTTCATAGCTTGACTTTATTCACAAAATCTTTTAAGTTCCAATGTTATAGTAAAAAGTGTGTAAATTATGAAAGTAAATACATTAAATAAAGAGTACACACATTATAAAATAAGTTTGAGTGAAAATGACATAAAATTTGTAGTAGAGTTAGTTACATAATATATACCTTGCTCAAAACTTTCTTTCATATGAGTTTGGTCCTCAGGGTGAAAGAAATCAAAGCATATCTTCCCTAATAACTCCTGTGGCTGGTAACCAAGTACACCTTGTACTCTAAAAATAAATAGCTGCATTACAACACAGTATTATGAACTGAAGAAACAAGACATTGCTTTAATGTTTATCTGTTGCACAATGGAATTTTTATACTTAGATAAAAAAGTTATTCATTACAGTAAATTTAGAAATACTGAAGCACCTCACATAATGAGTGAAAAATATCTTGTATCCTCCAATTAATCTTCGTTAAAGGATTTAGAGTCTACTCATTCCAATTATGAGGTCTGAAAAGAGTCCTATATTGTTATTTTTCATCACTACCTCCCTGTTCTGTGACACCTGCTGCCTTCCTTGGATGTGGCAAGTGTTTCTCGGGTTCCCTCTCTAAATCTGAACACTGATCCTGTCACCTGTTACGACTATGATAACCTACCATCAACTATTGGTAAGGCAGACACTTGAAAAATATGGCACCAGGACGAGCCCAAAGTTATACAGAGTCATCACATAATATGAAAATGTGGTCAGATTAGTTTTGGTCTTAATAAAAGGCTCATCCCCAGAGGATTGTATCTCTACTGCACGTTTTAACTCTAAAATTGCCTCAGTTATCCAAGTAGTAAGGTACAATTCAAGGAACCATAACTGATTTTAGGGCTATTTGCAGCTTCGCCTTAACACAGCATCTGCTTGCATGGCTTAATCTTTGAGATAAGCACATTAACTACTGGCAGGATAAGCCAGGTAGCTTTTTGATGTTCATAGAATGTTCAACCTGCACGCAACTTGATTCTGCCAAGTATAGTGCACACCTTGGAAATGTGCTGGGAGCTACACACATGGAATCTTATCTCGTATGCTTTAAGTAGCAGATACAAATTCACTACGCCCTCCACAACATCAGTCCCGGGAGGTGAGCCTTGATGGGCAATGTAAGGCTTTTATTGCGTGGGATGCATAATAAGCATATTTCAACATTACACACCTCATTTAAGTTTTCTCATGCATTAAATGCATCAAGTTGAGCAAATACTAAAAAGGATTTTTATATAAACAATGTTAAGCAAAAGACTAGGAGAATAAAATCAATTTTTTATTACCACCTTTTTATTACCCTTTATGATGAAAAGAAAAGTTTCTTCAGGGAAGCATGAGAAGTCATAATGCTACGTATTAATGCAACTGAAAGAAAGAAGAAAGAAAAAAAAAACTTTTTGAAGAAATAGATATTACACAGATTCCTCACTTTTAAAGCAAAAATTTATTTATTTAATAGTTAGAAGAAGTGCAAGACAGAGCCAAGCAGAGTCAACCCAACAAGCTGATATGAACAGAGTGACTGATGTTGTCAATAACAATGCAATTCACTATTTAAGATCTATATATTTGGAGAAAACTGATATCACTCAGAGACATTTTCAAAAACAACTTTCCAAAAAACCAAAAGCAGATATACAAGAAGATAAAGGGTATGTCAGTTTTCAACACCAATCAGTGGAAGACAATAAAAAGACTCAAGATTAAATAAAACTGAAAATCAGAAAACACATTCACGTAAAAAATTGCTTTTGTAATTAAAAGTGAATAAATTCCTAATATTTTTATTTTCGGCGGTGTTATTAATGTTCACCAATTTTTTTAGAATGTTTCATACTTTGGCCCAAGTTCAGGAACAGACAAAAATTACTCTCACAGCAACCTACAAGAAATAGCATAGCATATAACAAACACTACTTGGAAACAGATAGGGTTCGTTTTGTAAGGCACCATTATAGTTCATTTACTACATTTCATATGCTGCAAAAGTATTATACATTTCAATATCTATAGAACTGCAAAAACTTATCAGCAACATTAGAAGTATAATTATAGCAAAAATAGATAACTAGAAATAAAACTAATAATCTTAAACAAAGTAAATTACCTTTGGTCCACAAATGTAAATTTTCCTTCCATGTTATGTCGAGATATGAATTCATTTGATGAATTAGATCCCATGAGATCACTATTGTTGGGCGTACTTGTAACTTGAAGTCTTCCAATTGCAACAAGACAGCAATGGCTACTTCCATGTGCATCTTCGGGATCCAAGCGCTCCATTTGAACACCTGGAGGGAAAATATCTAATCAAACAATTTCAAATGTTTAAACTGCTTATTAAAACATATCATGCATAAAAATATAAATGAAAAATTAACATATAAAATTAAAATATGCATAAAAACATTAAATGAAATGTTAAAAATATTGTATCAGCAAAAAATTAATCCAAGCAACTCATTCAGAAAAATAGCAGAAAACTCATTAACACATGAAATATTTAAGACAGTATTATATCTGCACAAAAAATAATGCCAGTTTTGATATTTTGCAAGAATTTTGTCTTACACACATATCAAATAATAAATATATAGAAATAATGATTTAAAGTCAACAAAGAACATTAATTGCACTGACAGTTGCTCACAGGCCTGGATTAAAATAATTTATACAAATAAAGTTACATTTTTAAACAATCTTTATCGTCACAATACAGTTTTTTTCCCCTTTGCAGATGTTTTATATTTTAAATAATAATTTTGAGTTAATTTATTGTACAATTATAATTAAATAAAAACATCTAAACCAAACTTAATAATCATAACTGAATTCCAGTACAAAATCAGATTCAGAATGAACAGAACTTTGACATTCCTGGATTTCGGAAATTTCCAGCTTTTAGACCATTAATTTAAACCTATACTAAGATGACATGCACAAATTATAATATTAAAAACATGAAATTATTGCTTCTGGAAAAATAAAGCATTAATGACCTATTCAACTAACAATTATTAAATGTAGAAATTACTTATTTAAATGGTTTTCATAAAAAGGGTTCCATCTTAAAAAGCCTATTTTAGGCTCTCAAGTACATTAAAGAAACATATGGCAAATTTTAAGTGAATTGGTCAATAACTGCTTTAGCTATCACTTTTTAAAAGCTGATATATGAGCAAAAGCATAGTTTCCCCAAGAATACATTTAAACTTACTTTATAAATCACATTTCTTTATTTTATAAATTTAAAAACTTCCAAATTTATACATCACACTTTCTACTATCGCAATTTTAGAAAAATTTGATTTCCTTTACCTCTTGTTACTAGCATGTTTTGGTAATGGTCATGAATGCCATTTAGAGTTACCAATGCGTTCATTATGAAGAGTTTCGAGTCTTTCAATAGTAAAAGGTTCAGAAGTAACATAATAAAGTCAAGATTATTTGAAATCTTAAGATTCACAAGAGCAATATATGCACCCAGAGTAATTGTTAGGAGCTCAATAAACACATCTTTTAGCACAACTTGCCATAAAAATACATTATAACTTCATCTGCATTTTGATTTCCCATAAAAGCATTTTTTCAGCAATATTTGGTCACAAAGTTCAAAATACAAAAGCTTTAAATCATTATTAATCTTTGAGAAAAGCCTTTAGACTTCCCTGTATATTTTTGCCTTCAACTATAGAACATTGTTGAGACAGTGTTCATGCATTGTTTCATTTAGACCTGAACAACTGTGATAAAAGGTTGCTAAAACTGTGGTCTGCATTGCACACAAATTATTTGAATTGCTACGAGTTGTGATAACATTCTAGTTTTGCATTTTATTAATTAATTTTCTGCCTTTTATTAATTATTATTATTTATTTATTATTTCTGCCTTTTTGCATTTTATTAATTTATTTGGTTCCCAAACCCTTATGATTAGCTTTGAATTTATAAAAATGCATCACTATGCTTTTTTGTATATCCTGATATATTAAAATTTTGTGATGGTGCTTTTCTATATACACCTTTAGCAGCTACATATCCTTAAGAATCACCACATCATAAAATTCTACATATTTCAGTTGCTTCAACTGGCTTGAGCATTCAAATATCTGATATGGACCGACTTCATACCTGACAATGCTTAAAGCTATAGAAATGATTAAAAATTAAAGTTTAGTGGAAACTTTCAGCAAATAAGAATATAACTGATTTAATGAAAAATAAATTTATTTTAATGTAGACTGTTAGTACTGCAATGTCTAACTACTACATAAGCATTCCTAATTTAAATTGAGTTCTTTTCCAAAATTAATGCATAATAAACAGAAGCTCAAAAACAGTTTTTTAGAATAATATATTTTAGTTTTAAAAATTAGAAAAGAAAGCTTATTTAATCATGTACTGCTTTATACTGTTTATTGAAAATTAGTAAGTGATATATTTCAGGTAACAGAATGAATTGAAGTCATTAAAAATGTCAAATTATTTAGTATGCAAATGCATAATTTAAAACAAATTCCATTTCATTCGTCTTTTTTTTCCATTTGTCTAAAACTAAATTCCCTACCTCACTAAGCGAACGTGTTCACTCGGGTATCAAAATGTAGGTAATTTCTTAGTGCAAAGAGTTTTTCAAATTGAATGGAAAATTGTTTGTTATGCAGTGTGTCTGCAAAAATTGTGGGACAATAGTTACACGATAATTTGTTGTTGTCTTCAATACTGTATTATATTATGCTACATAATTTAGCACATTAAGAGAAATTTCCAGATAATTTCAGCTCCCAGTCAGCAAAATTCTCTCCTGTTTGAAATTGTCATCCCATGTGAATTTTTCTATTTCCTCTTATGCTCTCAAATAATGTACAAATCTAAACCAGTTTCAAACTCCAGACTGCTTTTGAAGCAGCTTTGACATCAACCATGGCAGCATATTTTATATGGTGGAATTTAAATTCTATGATATATTAGCGAGTATCTTTACTTGCAGTTACTCGAAAAACTTCATTGTCTGGTCATGCGAATTCTATACTGACACATTTGAATTAACTGTTTTTCTCTTTTTTATTGAAAATTTGGCAGCTATTCATTAGTTTCATTAACACCTCAGACATTATGCTGTCATATCAAAACTATTTCAGAAATGAGTGGCCAAGGTATGCCCTCAGGAATTTGTACTTGAATGTAGTTGCTGAGATATATGTCTAATGAATGTCAAAGGCATTCAGTCACTTAAAAGGTCAAGGTTCAGAAATTCAGATGGGGAACATGTGTTGTCTTATACAATGATTTGTACATTATTTGAGAGCTTTTACATCCTGTTTGTTTTCTCGGAGCTCAACAGACAGTGACATTTCACAAATGCTACTCTAATCCATTCTGAACATCTTACAGAAATAGAAGTTGGAATTTTATTGATGGGAGAGTAAACAACCCGAAAGTTAAATTTCTGCAAAATATGTGCAACTTTATAGCTAATTGATGGAAAGAAGGGAATGACAACAGAATTTTTATAATCTCCTAAAATAAGAGTGTGGCTTTTAGTGTGTTGAGATGAGAATTTTTTAACTGCTTGATTAATATGTTGGGTGAAAAGCCCCTGTCAATAGCTATTGCTTTTAAATAATTTAGTTCTTCATCAAGGGCTAGTTTGGAGGAGCAAACTTGAAGAGCATGGAAAACATAGGAATAAAATGAAGCTAACTTTTGTTTAGTCGGATGACATGATTTTAAAGTGTGGTGGAAGGCAAACCGATAAGGTTTACGGTAAACTGTAGTACTGAAGTTGGATGTGTTACGTGTGACCAGAATGTCGAGAAACGGAAGAGAATTGCAAGTCTCAAGTTCAAAAGTGAACCGAATAGCAGGATCAATAGAATTCATTGTTGAAAGAAACTCTATTTAAATCATCTTTATTACCTTCAAACAGGGTAAAAGTATCGTCTACGTAGCGGAACCATGCCGGGAAGTTTAAAGTTTTCAAACAATTTTTGATTCATAATAATGCATGTAGATATCAGCCAGGATGGGACTGAGGGGCTTCCCATGGCTAATCCCTCAGTTTGCTTGTAATATTTATTTTTGGAAAACAAATGTGTTTGTTTCAAACAGAGTTGAGTGAGAGAAATTAGCTCATCAATTTCGATGCAAGAGAAAGGAAATTCACGAAGTCTGGTTTCTAGACATCTTAATGCACCCTCCACTGGGACATTGAATAATGATTTTACATCAAAAGAAACCATGAGTAAATTACGAGGAGAAATGTTTTTAACCTTTTTTACAAACTCTATTGAATTTTTTATGGTGTAAATGTTATTGTCTAATAGAGTGGAAAATCTAGAAACTAAATATTTAGCTAATGGATACGAGGCAGTACCTAAATTTGATACAATAGGGCGGAAAGGAATACCACTTTTATGAATTTTGGGAAGAGGCATATAATCTGGCACAATTCGCAACAGATGGGATAAGCGAATGTTTTAAGTTGCTTGAAATGATTTGCAAAGATTTGATCGCAGTTTTTTATTTTGGATAAGTCCGAAGGTGAAGGATCTTTAGGGATCGGATTATATGGTCCTTTCGTTTACGAGTTTAGTGGCACCATCGATGTAAGTGTTCTTATCCATGACAACTATCTGGCCACCTTTGTCGGCCTTTGAAATGACAATATCCGGGTTAGAATGAATCTCGCGCATTGTAGCTCTTTCTCTCGCAGTTAGATTTGGTTTCAAAGGTTTATTATTGAATTTCACATTATGAGCGATAAGATGCCTAATCATTCTTTCTGTGAATCTGAAACTTTACTGAACTTGAAAGCTTTTTTCGATAGGAGCCAAAAATCTTTGGAATCGAGGGTTTACAGGTTTGTGAGAAGTTAAAATTATATTTTAGAATTCTCTCTTGTTCTTCTGAAGACTAACATTAGAAATATTAACTATTGGCTTGATGTTTTACAATGGGAAGATTTTTTTGAACTACTTGAACTGGAAGACTGTAAAAGAAGTTTTTCGAATTTAAAACTGCAAGGGTGTGTTTTTATGACGGTTAACTGCATTCTCCGTTCTAGACCAAGACTTTTGTTCAAGGGCAGTGAATTTTGGATATGATTTAGCGAGTTCCAGATGAAGCTTATAGAGTTCATGTTCAATTTTGGACAATTGTTGACGTGTATCCCTTATCACGGACCGAAGTAAGGCAAGCTTGCAATTTAACAGAATTCTTGAAACGCGACTCGACTTATTGTGTCTTAATTATGTATTATTTTGTTGTGTACAATTATTATATTATTTTACTGTGATTAATGAATTTGTAATGTTCGTATTTAAGAATTAATGTATAATATTTAGTATTGTTTAAACTTTTCGTTCGTTTACGGCAAAGCTCTTTGAAGTTTAGCTGAAGAATAGATTCAGAAAAAAGGGCACAAATGTATTTCCGTTTCTCACGAGTCGGCTTTCTGTGGGTGTTGGGGGTCGGACTGCCCAGCTGCATTTTCCTCTTTCGCTGGGTTGACCACTTGCTTAAAGGTGTGGAGGAGAGAAAGTATTTCGGCTTTTTCTGAAGTGGAGAACTGGGTAACTTGTTTATTACTTAAGGATGTCGCAAGTTTAACTGAATTACAATTGGAAACATTCCTTCTGTTGCACGGAAAGAAAGGGTCTGTCATCTTGTAGAGTTCCGAGTTTCTTCGAATACTTGAGGCTATTTATTGCCTTTGTTCTAATGGCTAGAGAGGGGGTCCACGTTTTGCTTAAAGACTGGCTAAATTTTAATTTTATTAATGTTTGAGCCAATAGTGAATTAGAAGCATTTCTTTGTGAATGTCAACCGAGCTTTCTTAAGCCATTGCACGGTAGGAGGAGGAGGGAGATTTTTTTGTGATATTTGGACCAGTTTTGATTGATTTTTGAGAGGAGCGTAGCCCGGCGACCCCTTGTGGGTGACAGCGGTTGCAGTTAATATTGTTTATCTCCGTGGCACTGTCAGCGGGAACCGGTCCAAGCTCGTCGCGGGCTCCTTTTGGTTAAATTTCTGCATAATTGGCTGAAGATCCGGGGCTAGGTCCAGCGTCTTAATCATGTCTTTGACGTTTTCCATGTGTAGAAGAGTTGAATCTGAATTGCTCGCGCTGAAGTTCCAGTTTGCTTTGGAAAACATGGAAAGAGAGTGGTCGTCATCATCTTTTATCTTCAGAGGAACTTCAAAATAAAAGGGGAGGAGGTGTTTTTATCAACTATTACATATCGATTGAACATTGTTTCTGACTTCAGAGTGTTCAGACTTGTTTTTAACAGAGATGAAATAGTTGACCAGGAGTGTCTAGAATCGTCATTCAACATTTTTTTTGTCACCTATAATGTATGGATCGAACTTTGTTTCTGACTACACGAGTTTTCAGATTTGTTTAAGGACAGCAATGAAATAGCAAACCATGACTGTCTTGAACAACTGCCAGATTTATTGTGGTTTTATCAACTAATAAAGTATCAACGGAATACTGTTTCTATGTGAGAGTATTCAGATTTTGGGTTTTTGAGAGCAATGCTCCAACCATGAGTTAAAATTGTTATTTTCATTTTTGCCTTCTCTTTCAATAAGTAATTTTTAGGATTTTGAAGTGTTAAATTCTACAGCTTTAGTTAACATTTTTATGTAGATTAATATTCGAATATTTTGCTTTTACTCAATTAATTAATTGTTGAGAAAGTTTTATGAGTAATAAATAGTTGAGGAAGTGTTAGCTTCTTTTTAATGTTTAATTGTCATGAGTTAAATTCTTGAGTACATGTTTAAAAGATTAATAACTATGACGTGTTTCACTATGATTTTGTAAGATATGAATAATGTTAACTGTATTTGTTAACATTATTATTGTTATTGTTATTGTTAACATTATTTGTTAACATATAATGTTTATTTCTTTGATTAAAATAATGAGTAAATTTTATGATTATGTTTTGTAGGAGTAGTCTGGCTGGGAATATTCAATAAATGTGTTTATTATTTTTATTATTGTATGTTTCTTTGAGTTTTTAATCATGGTCTACTGTAGGTTACCCGTGTGTTCCTTACAGAAACATGGTTTTACTCCCATTCGAACCTGGGTAGTAGAAAATCTGTTTTAAGAGTTGTGACTATAAAATCGGCCTACTTAATTTATTTTGATTTTGATAAGTAGACTTCTTTGGTGTGAGATTTATACTTCCCTGGTGTTTTAAGAGATTTGTGTTGCATTTAAAATGTAATGTGTTTTACGGCTATCTCTAGATTAGTGTTGAAATATATGTGTTTTCAGGTTAGATATCTGAATTAGTTATATTTTAGTAAGAGATAGCATGTTAATGATTTTGTTGTGGAAATGCCTTTTTGCATTTTGGTTGTGATAAATAATCTTTCTTTTTACCAAAACACCAGGGAGAATATTTTCCTTTATTTCTTTGATATAAAGTGTTAAGACTGATTATGTGAGTAAATGTTTAGTTAAGTTTTATTTTTATTTTATTTCGCGGCACCAAAGAGAAAGGGAAGTCAGTTTAAAAGTTAAATGGAAAAAAAATTATTTTAATAATTTTAACATTTTTTCTACGTAACATCAGTCTTATCCAAAAGTATAGTTTTAAAAAGGATCAAAAGGGGAACAATCAAGTATTTTCATTACACATACGCAAAAATCTTAATTTTTAACAAAATTATGAATCATAGAAAATAACAGCATAATTTTGTTCTCAATTAAAAATTTAAATGCTTCTGAATATGATACAGCAAATAATCCATGTCTACTGAGAGAAATTAAATATACTATACTTCTGCAATGACATTTCTTTTCCTCACATATTTTTGCCTTTAGGCATTTTACTGCATTGCATGGAAAATTTCCAAAGTAATTCTTTACTAGAGGATATAATTTATCAAAAAAAAAAAAAAAGTAGCATAGCTTTGGCATCAATTCAAAATAATTAAGCAACTGACAATCTCCCTACATTCCCATAAAATATAATTTATCCAAAGACAAAATAATAATTTAACATAGCTTTGGTATCAGTGCAGAATATTTAAGCAATTGACAATACTTGAATGTGCTGCGTTTAAAATTATACACATAATAAAAACTGATAATGCTAAGTATATAAGTACTTCATCCAATAAATGCTTTGTTATAACTAACAACTCTCAAAATTTTGAACATCTGATAATGGTAATTACCATAAAAAAGAAGGTATGAATTTCATAAATAAGTTTAATGCTTTAAGCGCAATATTATCACATCATTTTGAACATCAAAAGGTACTGTATTAAGAACGAGGCTCAGTTTTAAAACAGTATGAAACAAACAGAAATTCCCAAAATAATATTATGTTGATGTAGAATTTCCTTTTGTTTGCTTTTACTAACAGTATACTTTTTAAATCATTAAACAATTTAAAAAAAAAATTAAGATTAATTTACTCAAAGAAAGCCACAGCACGAAAAACAACAACAAAACAAAAAATTACTTGACAATAGTTTAGAACATATGTTATTTTATAATTTTGTAGAAAGAAAAAGCAGATTTACAATGAACATTTCACTCACTGCTAATCTGTAACTTTAGAACTTACCTGAAGGTGGCCAGTTCTTAATATACCCAGTACAGTGAACAACAGCATAAGCATTTCCATCAGTAGATGGCCCTAAGCTATTACGCTGCCTCAACCGATGTAAATGACCAGAACACATTGCATCAGGTTGTAAATTGCCAATCTTCATACGACAAATAAAACCTCTTCTAGAACCCATACATAAACGCATTGATGCTTAAAAAGATAAAGAACATTTACAATTGTGTAGTACAACACATAAGCAAAACTAGAACAAAATCTAAAAGCAAAAAACTAAATTTCGTAATAAAATTGAAATAAATGAGTTTAATAAAATGCAATATACAGGGTGTTGGTGAAAAAAGTGATAAAAAAGACATATTTATTGAAATCAATGTGCTTAATACATAGAATTTATATAGATGGAAAGAACGACTCAAGAAGCTTTTTATGGCATCGATATACGAGTGCCATTTGCAGTTCAGGCTATGTCTATATAATATTCTATCTCATTCCACATCTGAAAGAACCACTGGTACAGGTGCAGGATCTATTACCTCTTAACTCAAGCTAACAAACCAAAAATACTGGCTACAGACAATCCTGTACGCTTTCCTCCACAGAAAGAAATCTAAAGAGAATAAGGTTGCTCCGTGCCAGTCTTTCTGGCAAACGAACTTTTCAATTTCTTCATTTTAATTATGTACATCACAATGCAAAAACATACTGATCTTCAATATATGTGTTGCTCTTTTTCATCACTTCTTTCCAAAACCACCGGTATTCCCCGAACACTTTAACCTTTTTTTGATAGTTTTTAACATACTTTCAGTTTAAAAGATTCAAATGTATTTAAAGTCAAGAACAAATTTATGCAGGCAAAAATGCAATGATCACCAATATCAGCCTGAACTATGACCTACAATTTTACATTAAATATCTTAGCAGGTATAAAAGAAATTAAGTACCTTCAAATATGTTTCATAATTTAAAACCATAACCTCAAGCTGAATGTAATTAATACACAAACCTCAGCCCACTCAAGAAATATTAAGTTTATAAATTGATATGTGCTCATCCCAATGATTCAGTTTTAACTTTTTTTAAATATTCTGCCTTTTAACTGCCATGTTCATGTTTTGGGCATCAATCTTTAAAAATTTTAGTTAGTTTTAAAAGTAATCAATCACACTGTTTGCAAAGTTATATCCAGTTTATCTAGTTCACAACACATTAATTAAAAATTAATACTTTGAATTAAAAAAGCATTAAGAATGAGGAAATCAGCATTTGAGGGATAAAATTGGATAGCAAAGACTACACACTGGCAATGAAATTATGTTTTATGTGCAATTGCAAAACTAACCCATGCACTGAAAGTAACCTGGACAGTCAAATTCACATGTTTAATGTTGTAATGAAAACAAACACCATCCTACTTCTCCCTCCCATTCTTTGGCATCACACTGGAGAGAAATACCATGAACTGATGAATATTATGGAGGGAATAATACATATAGTTATATTAAAACTTTTAAAGATGGCTTGTCAGCTTCATCAGGTGTTGAAAATTCTGAGGGCTACATTCAGTACTAGTTAAATGGCTACAAGCTATTTTATTGCATATTTTTGATCGAAAGCTGTCTGAACTGGAATGAGCTATACTGAAACAAGCAAATCTTCCTATTCTGGTTCAAAAATTGAGACAAAATAAATGCTGATCCCTGAAAATTATACAATGTTTGAAAACTCAGACTTCTGTAATTACATTTATAGCTATAAAAATTACATAAAATAGTTCACATTACTTTTAAGTACACAAAATATGCGTAAAAATTACTTACATTGATGACCTTCCTTTTTAACAGTACCAGCTGAAATATATTGAGAAAAATATATATAAGAAAAATGGGCAAAAAATGTCACTTATTCCTAATATTAAAGTATAGAAAATAACTTTGTGATAATTTAAATGATATGTAAAATATAGTAAATGTCTAGACATTCAGCATTCAACTAACCAGAAAGCTTAAATAACCAAAGTATTTTGAAATTTTATACTCTTTCTAATTTTACAAAAAATTATGCAAATAAGATATTTTAAAAGCATCATAAAGCATAAATAAGGCTATTACTCAGAATTCTGCTATGACATCTAAAATGGAAATACAATTACACAGCTTTCATCAATAGGATATTGCTTACATACACACACATTGTATATATCTTATTTTCCAAGAAATGGTTCTTCGAACTGGAGTCTTTCCTATTAAATCATTTATGACAAACAAAAACTGCCACCAGACAGTATGATATAGCACTACTAATGCATCAGCAAGACATTACAGATAATCGCCAAAACATTCTTCATGGTTTCATGTAAATCTGATGAATAAATCAGTTTAGTTTTGTGAAGAAGGATACAAGTTAATTGCTGTTTATCGATTTTTCTCTCACATTTTCAAAATATTAAGATTTCTGGAACTGCCTTAGACGAAACAGCATGCAGTGAAGTATTAAAAAAATTATGGGATTAAAAAAGTGAGCATTTTAATGGGCACAATACGTATTTATTTGAGAATGAATAAATAATAGCAATGCAAAGCAAAGTTTTACAAGTTATATCCGTAATTTTTATCTCTTGAATGTCTTACTAAATAAAAAGCAGTATGTTCCTTCAAAATTCTGGCAGCATACGTGGCCAAGCTGAGTGCATATCCACCTTTCTTTCATGGTAAATAAAATTTCATAAATGGTTTTAGATCTTCGGCTTTCATATGATAAATGATAATATTGGCTTTCATGTTTGAAATGCCTTTTCCTCTGAAATCTAACATAATTTCAGATAATAAATATATAAATAAGCATTTGTTGATAAATAAAACAACTTTTTATAATTTTTGACCAGGAATTTCTTCATCCATTCGTTTGGCTATTGCAGTTTTTATATGCCCAACTATCAGGAATTTTCATGTCTGGCATTTTCTGAGCTTTCCAGGCAGCTGAGCCTTATTATACTTACTTTTAAGATCAAGTATTCGCCCAGCATTTGGAGATTCTTGAGTTGATAGCTGCTCTCTAACTTTATCGACGTCATCAGGATGAACCAGGTCAAATATGCAAGCATTAAACCAGTCAGCCTATAGAAATTAGTTTAAAATTTTATTTTAATGTTTACAAGAAGGTTACATTTATCTTCATTTAAGAGAAAAATTAAATTTTTTAAACATATGTTCTTTAGATATAAAAATATTGCAAGAAGCAGTATAAATGGATGGATTAGCATTTGTTTTACTTTTTTAAGCATATCTAACACAACTTAAACATCACTTCTCTTTAAATCGAAAATAAGAATAAAATTTTAAAAAAATTACTTGAGACTGATTCAGCACAGGAGATACAGAATCAGATACATAAATAATACGTCCAGTATCACAAGCTATGACGAAAAGAAAGCCATCAGCAGCCTAAAAATAAAACATTATCAAAATATCTTTAGTACTCACAATTTATTGACCAAGAGAAAATATGTGTACATTATTCAATAAACACAACCTACTTATCACACTCAGACCATGAAAACTTTATAACTGATTGGTAGTAAGCTGGAAGCTGAGAAGGTATATAAAAATATTACACAAGGAATTAAAAAGAAGCATATTTTGTTTTGACCTACAGTCAAATCTTGATTCAACAGGTGGATTAACCAGGCCCTGTCTTAATTAGAAGTTAAGTTTGTTTCTTCATATTTTAAAGATGCTTATTTTTCCATTATTCACAATTTGCGCATTTTGCTTTGAGTAATGATACACAACAAATGTATGCTTCAGATTAAACTACTGTAAAACACAAGCAAATTGTAAGTAATTTTTTCTGTTAATAATAAATTGGGTTACACTTTTTCCAGTGTTTTTAACCTCCCCACAAATTAACCATAAACAGCATCCTCTTATTATATCAATTAAAAGGAGTTAAATACACATTCATAATCAAAACATATGCTTCATTACAATATATATCAGGGTTCAAAAAGGGTTTATACATTATGCCTATTCTGCGACCACTGACATGAAGGTCCACCACTATCCTCAACTTCTCTGTAGGACTGTTTGCCCTTTGGGACAGGGAAGGATCTCAGTGTGTCTGAAACTGAATATACTGGTTAATCAGAGTCATATGAGAAAACAACAGTTTCGTGCCATGGCTTTATTTACCACCGAAAACAAATACCCTAGAGACACATGGCTACATATCTACAGATGGATTAATGTTTAATGATGAAGACAGAGCAGGAACCAATGTGTGCTGTAATCTTTTTTCATGCTATGTGTCAATAGGTGCTCATTCCCACCCATTATGGTGGGTAAATCAAGGCTATTTAAATTGAATTAAAGCAAATGGCTATCTGCCTCTTCGTCATTCTGTGGAGAGGTTATTTTGTCAGACTCCCTGTCTGCTCTCCAATCTTTTGCAAATAGACAATACATCGATAATATCCGCATACGGGAGTGCAGCAGAAAGCTCTCAATGTGAACCTCTGTTTTTTTTTTTTTTTCCAGTGGATCCCAGACGACTGTGGGATTCCTGGGAATGAGATTGCCGAGCTTTTTGGCCAAAAAGGGCACAAGGGCCCTCCAGAGACCTTTGAAAAGCCTCTAATTTCACTCAATCAAACTCCTGATAAAAAGAAGATATGCCTCCAGGATAAAGCAAAGAGCACTCCATGACTCAGCTGGTAAGCCATGGGTCTCACTGCTTGAGGATACACAGTTGGATCCCAGATTTTCCTAGAAGTGCAGTTGTGGCACTTTTCCACCTAGCCACAGGCCATGACTTTGCCCGCATACTTGCATTGGCTTGGGCTTTCCAATTCTCCCTTATGTCTTCTGTGCAGACAACATTAAATTTTTAATACTACTTATCTTGCTCGTGCTCTGCACTTGTGTTTCTAAACTGTAAAGTTCAGAAATATTGGAAGGCTAGAGATCTAATGGCATCTTAACCAATCTTCTTGGCATTTGTAATAAATAAATATATATCAAGGTTTTATTGAAGCTCAGCTTTCAAATTATGTATTTTTCTATGAGCTAATGGCACAATTTTGTTGACCAAATGCAATGAACTAATGAAATTATGAGAAAAATTACTTGCTTATTGCAGAGCAATGGAAAAAAGTCAGTGTATAACACAAAGGTCTACCAAAAATGTTAAAAGAAAAATATGAGCACTTTGGGTCCAACGGGCCTACTCTCTTAAAGAAACCTTTCTCAAAGCATGCCCATTTTACCGAAGTTGTTGAGGTCCAGTGTAGTAATGTGCAAGGTCACCCTCTTTGTGTTTCTAAAGCTTTTTCCCGGGGCTTTGAATTGAAGTCTTATTTTTGACCGGATCGGATCTTTTAAAACCAGGGTGTCTATTCGCATTTTTGTTGCATAGTTGACTTGTGACAGTATGAAAGCGGCAAACATATCATGTATTTTATTTTACATGGGAGTAATGTCACAAAAATTATTACAAAATGCATCAACGAACAAAGATTCTATTGACGAAAATGAGGATGGAAGTGGTAATGAATTTTTAGCTTGCAAGATATTGATTCAGAAACTAATTTAGATTCTGAAAACGCAAATAAAAATGACATAAATGACTTTATTGGAAAAGAAAAATATCGCAAATGGGAAAAAAATGTAATGCTTGCTCTGCAATAAAGTACAGAAAAATGAAAATGTGCTGTGCTGAATGTGAAAAATATTTGTGTTTGGAACACAACACTTTATTCAATGTGCTGCTAACACTGGTTGCTGCTTTTTTTGTGTGTGGGGGAGGGATGCATTTTTTCTGTATTAGTGCTAATAAAGAAAATGAAGAATCGACACAGAGTAAAGGTATATTATTTTTTCCCTACACTAACATATAATACATTTTTCTATTTCAATAAAAAATTTTATTTCATAAAAACATTGAGAAATTAAAAATTTTAATATACACACTTTTAAGTTTAATGATAAAATTTATTATTAGTATAAATGTAACATTTTTACCTAAAGATTTATAATTTTTTCTTCAAAAAATATGAACCGCGTGTTTGGACCCTGTACAACACACTCGTGTAATAGAAGAGCACACAAGTTGTCGTGTTAAAGCTTACAGATGGGAATCAAGAGAAAGCCATGACTGCTTTCAGTGCAGCTTGCTAAGCATTTAAGTTATGAAAATATTTGTAAAAGATAGGATTTGAAATTTACAGGCTGACACTTTTAATTCACAGGATCAAATAAAGATTAGATTTCTTTTGGGAACAAAAGTTTAGCAACTGACTTGAAGTTAAACAGAACACTGCAGTTGAGGAAGACATGTGCATGGAAGAATGAAGTTTCATAATAAGAAAATTCATAAAGAAAAATTAAATAAGGTGAAATGAAGAAGAAAACCTGCAGGTAGAAGCTGATAAGCTAAGTAATGTTATAATGGTGATGCTGCACTAAAAAATTACATCCTGAACCATTTGAATATTGGTGGCCAACAAGCTAAATCTTTACTTGAAAAGATTATTGACTAAAAACCTGTAAATAAACACAAATTATTTATGAGATTATTTTTAATAATACTGGCAATAACTGTAGTATATGGTCTGATTACAAGTCTTTTAAAAGTGCACATATTTATCTTTTATTATGTATGCAATAAAAGGTGCTTTAAAACTTCATTTTGCATAAAGCAGATTCTAGATGTCATTTTGTTCTAGCAGTAACCGAAGATATTTAATGTAATGAATTTTCTTCATCTAAAACGAAGGGATCAAAAGGACCAATTAGTGTAAACACAAATAAAAATGTAATTAGGTATACAAAATTAAAAGTAATTAGACATAGATAAAAACTAAATTGCACTAGTGTAAAATGTGAAGCAAAAAAGAAAAGACAAGAATGAAAACTACCAGATCAAAATAAACTGCAAATTTTCCCTAATTTAAGTCTCATCAAAATGGTGAAGGATAATAAATTATAACAAAATCAGCTACTGGAATATAAGTATTAAAGCTGAACATTGAGAAAACACCAGTGAAATAAAAGAAGCAACCAAGAATGAAAGTCTATGTGTCTCATTGGCAGAGCACATTCAGTTGCAACATTTCTAAATTTTCTTTCCTCTGTGCTTCATTTATTACATTTTAAAATTAAGTAAACAAATAAATAACAGCAATTTTACGCGCAAGCTAAAAATGTTTATTTAAATTTCGTTTAATTCACAGTTTTTTTTTTACTACAGATAGACACACACTCATGCATATATAAATATGTTAAAAATAAAAATTACATGTTTAAAAATTAAAAGCATTAATAAAAACAATAACATGATTACTAATATTTCACAAGAAGATCAAAAACACCAACTGAATATGCATTACCTCTAAAATCAAATGCTTTAGTTCCTGGTCAGTTAGGAAAGAGGGTTTATATGTGCCATCACTACTGGTATTACCAGTACCTAAAATTATATAAACATAAATGACATTAGAAAGGAAACCCTAACACACTAAAATGATTTTAAACTTCTGAAATTTCTTTGATAGTTATCATGAAACTAGGTTTACCACAAAATGTGGCAATAACTATCTTAAATTCTTTGTGCTGTAGATAATACATTGGGAATTCTAAGTAATTTCAAAATTTCCCTCTGACTTTATTTCCCGATTTTGCTTCTATCATGTAACTTATGACTGGACAGGATTACTTAATTACAGCAAAGTACACAAGGGATATTTGCCACAATAATTTGGAATAACAAAACAGTCAGCGCAAGATTTATTTTAGCAAATGACATAACTTAAAACCATGATCAACAATTTTAAAAAAAAAGAATAAAACTTTATATTACCACTACAAGGTAAATGTAACAAAGTCAACAAAGTCAACTAAATGAGATACAACACTGATGTGTTTAAGATTTATATGCCTGTTACATTGCTGACAAAAAGCAATGGACTCGTAAACAGTTAAAAAAAAAACAGTTTTCAGAGTTTAAACTAAAAATCTCTTAAAATTCTCGAGCTCTTATGCAGACTTGCACAAGGTATATAATTCTTGAAAAATGATAAACTAAACTAATTCTAAAGAGGGAGAAACAGTTGTTAAAAAACTTACTACTCCATATTAGCAAGACTAACTGCTTTCTACAATGTGAAGTTATTATTAAATTTTTACATTTTATTTGTTAATGTTTCCAGTCCCCATCTTCTTACTTTGAAAGGTAATAGGCACAAACTTTTTTATGATGAGCAAAGAGATGAAGAATGGTTTTCTTTATTGTAAGAAAATAATAAAAGACCAAAATGCATTATACACATATCTATATTTTTATATCAAATAAAAGAATGCAGATTTTAACATAAAATCAGAATTTTAATATTTTTGAAGACTTTTGCCATGTAGAACTTTGGGTTCTTATTTCATTCTATATTTAGAGAAGTTTGGGAATAGCAAAGAAACTTCCTTTATTTTCTAGTGCTTTTACAAAATTCATATATGTCTGATATCTTTCCTAATGCTAATTGTTTCATTCTTAATCATAATTTTTAGATTATGCTTTAGTTGTTATTTATATATTAATACTCATTTCATTCACATCAATATACAAAAAATAGCGCTTACCTCGCCATATCTGTTGATTAAAATGAAGTTTATTATATAAACAGCTTTTTCATTCATATTATCATAGAAACTAATACAGTCAAAAGTTGTTAATCCGGACTCGTCGGAACTTCGGCGATTCTGGATTATAGATCATCAGTTTAAATCTGGTAAGATGGCATGCAGAAATTATAAAATTAAAAATATGAAACCGTAATTTATGAAATAAAGAACAATTATGATCTAAGGGGTATCAAAATTTACAAAAAAAAAAAAAAAAAAAAGCTTAATATTTATTTGTTTACTTTATTAAACATTTCTTTCAATGTAAGTTGTTTCGTTTTTTATGTGATAATACATTCTCTTTAATTCTATAAACAGACATAATTTCTTGTTCAGTTACAAAGTTCCGCTGTTCAAGTCCTATAATTGCTGTGTCGAGAATACCGACTAATTTGTCAATCGAAATTTTTTTGTTTTCAATAACCTCTGTCACTTTCTTCGCTATCAGAAGCGAATTATAATGACGAGGAATTTGATTTAAATCATATCAAAGACAGAGTACATCGAGATGAAATACTACATTTAGTAAGGAATTATAAGCTAAATAAAATAAAAACATCTGCCCTGAAAATAAGGATAGTGCTGACAGATAAACTTCCAATTCATTGCGTGCCACGGCATTAAAGATAAACAAAGGATATGTCTTTATCCATTTTTTGCAGCAATTCCACTTTTTGTTTGATGGACATCGGAACATGCTTTCGCTTTGTAGATCCTTTGATAGCTCCAGAATCGGAAATTCTTTTTGACATAATCGAAAGTTCAAGCTTACTTTTATAAAATTGCTCTAACAGTGCAAAAAATAAAGCCGGATCCAATTAGAAGATTAAGGAACAGCGCAATCTGCAACATTAACTGAATTAGATAATTTTAGCTTAGCTTATACCGTCCGTTATACATTAAACGGGCATTCGTAAACGTATTTTGCGCACACGCCTATTCGCAGCCGTAAAGGCAGAAAGTTTGTAGCTTTGAGGTCCGGATGTACAGAGTCGTAGCTAGGGTTTTCAGCGCCCAGGGACAACTGAAGATTTCGCGCCCCCTACTGCTTGCCAAGGATGGAAAACATTTAATTCTAAAATGTCATAACATCAGTTTGTCGCCCCTTGGATTCTGCGCCCAGGGACAAATGCCCCCCTTGCCCCCTCTAGCTATGCCCCTGCGGATGTAGGAAAGATCATTCCGGATTATGGGTGTCCGAATTAACGACTTTTGACTGTATAGTGTTTATGTATTCTTATGAAGGAAACAGTATAGTGCATATCCTCAGAAGTGAAATAATGTAGATTTTCCATAACTGAGCCTTGGTTACAATACCTATTTTATGAAATTGAATTATTAATTCATGCAAATGTGTTGGGCTTTTGCAATATAAATCTGATAGAATTCAAACTGATACCATTAAGAAAGCAGTAAAATGCATTTAGCAAATGCAGAAATATTTAAAGTATGCAGTTCGAATAAATTAACCAAAGTAATTCGTTATTATTAAATCAATTAGCTTTGTAAACAAATTATACAACATTTTTATTTAATACAATCATTTAAAAATACTAAAGCTCTGAAATGTAGGAAAGTTTTTTTTTTAAAGTTCAAATATTGCATAAAATTGTAATTTGTTAAAAGAGAAATAATGGTGAAAGCAAATGTACCTTTAATTATAACTAAATAAAAATTGTTTGTGATTTATCTTTCAGGGCCAAGTTTTTGATTGATTGATTTTTTTGTACCAATAACTATTCATCCAGTACTGCAGATTTAGCAATAAATCACTAACTTGAAAAGTAAAATTTGAGTTTAGTTAAAGATTATGTTAATTTTCGAAATGTGTTTGTTCAGAAGTTAACATTAGATTATATAAGAAAAATGTTCAAATACGTAAATATTCTGTATATAACAATACAAACAATTTTTTCATCTAATTTTTTTAATTAAAATGTAATAATTCAGTTCATTTTCCAGAAGAAAAAGCAATTAAAAAAAGATAGAAATGGAGAAGAAAAAATAGTCAAATTATTTTTAAAAAGCCAAATTATTTTTTAAAAAAATGCTGCACACCAAATAGGTAAGCAATTTTAAAAAAAGATAGAAATGGAGAAGGAAAAATAGTATTAAAAGCCAAATTATTAAAAAAGAATGCTGCACACCAAATAGGAGAAAACACTTTTGTTATATATACTTCAATTTAAAAAGAGAGGGAAAAAATAGGCACTAAATCAAGAAATGTAGCTAAATTCTTAATAAGCTATTTTTTTTAATAATAGCCGAGTACTTTATTTAATAGCCATTATTAGCCTTACGCCATTACAAGGGCAAGATGTAGTGGCCATTTCATAATGGAAGCACCATAGCTGGCCACTGTTGCCTCCTGTGAAGGGACAGATGGACAGTTACAACCATGCCGTCTCTGGGATTCGAGCCCGGACCATAGCTACGGCAGTCACGGTCATTAACTACTATACCAGCTGGGTGGCTAAGGAGCTAATACAACAACTTAAACTTTTAATACAATTTATAAACTTTGGAAATATTTAAGTGTCTTTAAATATTAAGTTCTAAAGTGCGAAAATGAAACCATGTTGCTTCTGAACAGATAATACTCAAAATATATGCAATGTGATATGCTTAGAAAATGACCATAATACCACTTCTAGATCATATATAATATGTTCTACATTTGCAGGTATGCTATATTTTATATAGAAGTATAAATAAATCATAAATACATGACAATTATTTTTTAAAAACTTAATATGATGAGATATAACCTTAGTATGATGAGAAAATATCACGATTATGTTGAATATTTTCAATAATTTAAAAATTTCGAAGTTTCTTGAAATATTTTAACACCTTGAAGATTTCAACTTCTTATCAATTTATAAAACATTGTACTTGTTATCCATTTTACCAGAATTCTCTAAAATACAGATAATGTGACACAGCAGCAGTCATTTTAAAAATAGTGCAGTGTTATGTGATATGTCATTCACATCTTTAGTTACATCGCAGCTGTAATTTTGTGATGTTATATTCATGTCACCTTGTAGAGTCATTAGGATTACTTTGAAGCAGGAATAATGAAAAATGAGTAATGCCCGCGCCGGGACTCTCGAATAAGCGCCGAGTGTGCTGGCCATTACACCATGAAGGCATGCTAAGAAGGCGTGAGAAATACCTTGTATACTCCCCCTTTTAAAGACTGACTGAGGATTGGAGAGACCCAATCGCCAAATACTGGCGGTGGAGAATCATCATCCACCACCTTTTGAACTTTGGGCGCCACTGTAGAGTCATTAGAATTATTTTGAAGCAGGAGTCATGAAAAATGAGCAATGCCCTCGCCGGGACTCGGACCTCTAGAATACGTGCCGAATGTGCTGACCATGAAGGTATGCTAAGAAGGCGTTAGAAATACCTTATAACATTATATCATAGTCACAGTGTGATGTTACATCAATATTGCAGGGTGACTTCATAACACTGTCGTAGTATGATCTTACAAAAACAAAACAGTCTGACTTCACAGCAACATCAAAGTTTTAATTCCACACCATCAGTGAATAACTTTAAATCAATGTCCCAGTGTGACTTTACATCAACATCGCAATGTGACTTCACATAAACGTGGCAGAGTGACGTCACATCAATGCTGTAATGTGACGCTGATGCGGACATAAATAGCTCTACTGGTCTCGGGCTGAACTTAAACCCCGAATATACAGTATAATGTACTACTACAAAGGGGGATGGAAGACCATTAATTTTCCAGTTCACCAATGTAAAAAGTTAAAA